AATATTTTCGTGAATATATGCTTTTCGCATTGCTGAAAACATTGCGGAATTATGCAGTTAGACAGTTCATAGACAATGTTAAAATGTCATGCCACGTTGTAGGCTCGTTCGTCTCTTTTACTAGCTTATCTCGCCGCTCACCACAATGGTCAACACAGTGAAATATTTCACCCCGCTGATGCATTCTTTCCCTCCTTTCTTTTTTCTTCTCTTGCCTCGGCTGGCTAACGCCCCCTCCTTTGCATTGGCCTCTGCCATTGGACGGTAAAAAATAAAATAAAAATAAAATGAACATAATGATACCCTGATGAGTGTATCTCCAGCAGAAAATGCATAAAATGTACTATGGGTGTGTGTGAACAGGAATAAGGGAAAAACTAGTAGAAGAATGTGAAGAGAAAAGAGAAAAGAAACCTAATTTGGTGGTAGCAGAGCGCTAACACAGAAACAGCTTGGTAATGAACACATAGCTAGGAATGTACATACATCACTAGTCAAAGATGACAGATCAGGGTCGCTCAATCCCTAGAACAGTACAACAAACAAGAGTGCTTCCTCAGCAGACCTGGACAAATAGTCTGGAATTTGATTCCACTTGCACATTTGTAGAAACCAGTGATGCCGTAGGACTATACATACATCACTAAAGAAGCCGAACTGCTGACCGTCTCTCGAAAACACATCAAAAACAGTAGAGGGAGAGACCAACGCGCAGAATCGATAATAGCCATCCTGGGCGTCTTGTAAGTAAAGTTCATTTCACTATAGAGGTTGCGCACAACGAAGAGTCGCAAACTGTCAACCGTCCGGGTTCGAGAAACGAAAGTTGCTACAAAGATCTGCCCAAAACGCGACAGAAACAGAGCAGATCTACGAAAATATGTTTGTCCCCTGGATTACTGAAATACTGATATTTTACAACTCCTTTTCTTGGCTCCGCCCCGTCAACACACTACGAAAGGTTCACGCGTTGTGCGTGACATCTTGGATGCGACCTCCAAAACTCCTTATGTTATTTCCATAACTTAAAACCTACCAAGTAACAGTTAGTTGGAAGGCTGTTGGAGTGCGCATCCAATATGTGCTAGAGCGCTGTTAGCCAGTTAGTTGTAGAATGTAGTGGCGAGTACCGTCGGTCAGTGTCGTGCAATGTTATCGCATGAGCTGATTGTTTAGTAACTGGTCGTGTAGGTGGACAGTATAGCGTAACTTGTAGTGCCTTCGTCTTTCTCTTTTGTATAAATTAAACCTTGGCTTTCCATCTGAATCCATTCCTGCACACCTGATGCGCCATCTTTATCTATCCGGCGAAATGATCGTCGTGTGAAACTGCTGCTTGTTACCGCTGCTTATTGTCCATCTAAATTGTCATAGTCGAAGTACAGTGCTGTATGACCGAGGCGGTTGGTTTTTCATGATTCTCGTTCGCATAGCTTCCCCTTTTATTGATCTTTGCATCTTTTGAGCCACACAAGTTCTGTGGAATGTTGCTTTGCGTTCTTGAATCGTGGTTTGACCGTATTGTCCAATGATCTTGCCAGTATCGTCATCGACATGCATGAACATCCGCCACCGTCGTTCACAGCTGAGACGTTCAGCTCGTGCTTATCTTGGTTGCGCTCACCTTCTCCTCCTTTTGTTATTTCTATAACTTAGAACCTTCCACGTTGGAAGGCTGTAGGAGTGCGCATCCAAGATGTGCAAGAGCGCTGTTAGCCAGTTAGTTGTAGAACGTCAGTACCGTCGGTCAGTGTCGTGCAATGTTAGCGCATGAGCTAATTGTTTAGTAACTGGTCGTGTACGTGGACAGTACAGCGTAACTTGTAGTTCCTTGGTCTTTCTCTTTTGTATAAAATAGTACTAATAATAGCACACTTCGCCTAAGCAATCATGGAGGGAACTCTCAGCTTGAGCTGGTTTTGCTCGCGGCTGCAACGCACGGGGTAGTGAACCCAGGACAGAAGCGGACCAGGCATCATGACTTTGCACATCTAACGTTATGCTGCTTCATAGTAGAGCACTAAATTAAGAAATTCAGTGTTTTTCCGCCTTCTGAGCATCATCAGCAAGGTGTAGTAGCTGCTGATACTGATTCCTACTCGGGTGTCGAGTTGCACCGTTTCTTCCAGTCTGTCTTGTCCGCTGCTTGTTGTCAGCACCTGGAAAGGTCTTCCATGGTCTTCATTGGCACATCCAGCGTATTCAGCTGCGCGTAATGATAAGATGCACAGAAATGAAAGTCGGGAGGGCAGGGACACTGTTGAGATTCATAACTGACTGAAGATGTCAAGAAAACAAACGACCATATAGAACACACCAGATGCCATATTTGCAGCTGACAATGAATCATTTTAGAATTACGAGCCTCTTTGGCTTCTTATCTGGCCTCTGATCACCAAGTTTATCAGGGTGAGTGGACTGTCTGGCTTAGCTAGGCTACACACTTAGGCACCACGTCACCTTACCTGACAAGAGTTTTGGCTCACCTCGTTGCAAGGTATGGTTCTTGGCGTGTAGGTTCTTCAGAAGACCGACTGGTGCACTCTGAAACCTTGCAAAGCAAATCGATTTAATCAATAGGACTTCTTTCTCGTCTGGGAGGCAGGTGAACCACTGGCTTGAAACGATGGTCTCTGCAACGCACTTCTATGGTTCACCTTGTCTAGCTTACTACGGTACAATGATGAACAGTTCTCATCTCTACCTACTACAATCACTGGTTCAGGCTTGTGAGATATAAAAGTTTCAGGCTTGGCAGCCATCTCAACTTCAGGCCCTACATATTCCAAGGGATCCCTGGTCAATCCTCCATACACACTGTTTTTTCCCAGTTGATGCTCCATTAGTACCAACAACAGCCTTACTGGACAGCTGAACTCGGGCCCTTCCGCGTCCTTTTGGCGGAAGATGACGACGAGCGTTCCCCACAGACTGGATTTGTCTCGAAGAGGTATTACATATTACACTGTACAGGATTTATGTCGACGACGTTTCACTGGGTGGCTGCGACATACACCCGGCGTTCACGTCCACACTGGCAATAGCGTGTACAGATGAGTGTGTGTCACGCTGGCTCTCCGCACACACAGAGATTTCGGAAAACTTGGGTCTGGAGACTGGGGTGCTACCTGTGGATGATCTGAATGAAGCATCCAGGGCAGCAGCTTCTTCACGATCACGCTCTCTTTTATAAATGCTCCTTTCTTCCTATCTTTCTGTACGGGGCCACTGCTTTGCATTTCTTGCTTAGTAAATCTGCTGTACATGCACTAGAAATACATCATGAACGTGTGTTGAAAATTATTTTTTGTAAACCCTCTCTTTTCCCCTCTACTGATCTATAGCTTGGCATCCACCAGCCCCATCCCTATCCTGTCGCCAAGACAGTCATGCGTTCTGATCCATCGTATTTTAAGGGGGCAGCCTACCCATAAATTTCATATGGCATTCAATTGACCGTAACTTTGGTTTTTCTCAATGGATTTGAGTGAAATTTTGACCACACACTCCTGCCACTATGCTGGCCCTCAGGATATGATTTACAAGTTCTTGCGCCTCACTGACAGGCTTTCCAGGCCGGAAAAACTCAAATTTCCTGCATAGTGCCACGGTGTGCGAGCCACCCAGGAGCCAAACAAATGCATTTACAATTTTTTCACATTTTCGTGCTCATTCTGTTCGTGCGCGGGACTCAAACCTAGAACAAGTCCAGAAACAGCCATGGGTGATGGGGTAGGGCCCCTCAACGAGGCCCTGGAATCTGTCACAACGGAACGAGTGGGCGTTCTCTTACACACTCCCACAGACCCAAGTCAATTTTTGATTTTTTTAGGTTTAGCACGTGCTACGAGGTCGTACCTTTGATACAACATCCAGTGCTGGGACCTCCACAGCAAGCTATTTCCACAGCGCTGCACACCAAATCCAGGATACCCTCAGAAGCCGGCAAAGACTACCACTCACGTTTCACTACTGCCTAGTACTGAATCCTACCTGACTTCTTGACACGACTCAAACTTGCCAAAGTCACTTAATCAAACTTCAACTACAATAATCAAGCCACATATCTGCAACGTCACGAGGGTGCTGGCAAAAGTCCTGCTGCACGGCGGCGGGCTTCGCCCGCCGCCGTGCAGCCCAATACGTGGCTCAAATACCTGATTTTTTGGACAATTTTCAGAGTATTTGCAGCTATTCATGCTCTTTCAACTGACGTAGCACTCAATATTAATTTACAAATTCGATCTTTCAGCGAATTTTTGGGTAGTCTGCCACCTTAACTGAACAGTGTCCTTGAACATCTCAGCAAGTTATTGGTTTACTTTCGCACGGGACACTCGCAATGGCATAGTACTTCCCAGAGCTTTGTCAACTATGCTTACCAAATCTCCTATTTTCTCTGCATACTCGTATTGGCCCCAGCTGCCCATGAAAATGAAAGCAATATCCAATATTAGACAGTTCATAGACCATGTTAAATGTCATGCCACCTTGTAGGCAGGCTCGCCTCTTTTGCTAGCTTATCTCGCCGCTCCCAACCACGGTCAACACAGTGATAAAATTTCACCCCGCTGCTGCATTCTTTTCTTTCTTTCTTTTTCATTCGCTGGTAGCAGAGCGCTAACCCAGAAACAGCTTGGTAATCAACACATAGCTAGGAATAGACATGCATCAATAGTCACAGGTGACAGTAAACAGACCTCGAAAAATAGTCTTGAATTTGATTCCATTTGCACATTAGTGGTAACCAATTTTGCCGTTTAGACAAATCTGGAAACTGGCATGCCCCTGATGGCGTGGTCTGCTGGCTAAAGTGCACCAGTATGGTTGCTTGTAAAATTTTAATGACATTGCTTCAGGCGTGGAAGACACTTCCTATATGCAGTCTGCTTGGTCCTCAGTACCTTCAGTGCCAGTTTTTCTAGTTTTCATCTCTTCTCGCTCCACATACACCGACATAACGACATGGACCCAGACAACATGGACAGGAGCACACAGAGTGATGGTAGTAGGCCGCAGCCAGACGTGAACCGTGATGCAGAAGAAAACTAGGAGCAGCAACAGGGGGACAGACCCCAGGAGGAAAGAATGAGTACATTCAGCTTACATAAAAGAGCCAGGACAAGCACCACTTGGGACCGTCAGATTAATTTCTCTGGACCGAGCCAGCCGGGAAAAAAACCTCGCGCCGACAGACGCACGAATGAGGGAAAAAACCGGGTGTATAACCCCAAGTGGCAACATGGCAGCGTGAAAACAGGCACAACATATCTACAGCCAATAAAGAAATGGAAGAAGATGGGCAGACATGAAGGGTGGGAGGGTGTAGACACTGGTGAGGCACAAAACACTGACTGAAGGAGTCAGACAAAAAGAACAGCAACAAAAAGAGAACACATTAGATTCCATATTCGCAAGAAAAACAATTTTGGTGCGCGAGAAATCATTTCTCGCCTCACTCGCTCCGCTCGGCCGGCGAGAGATTATAACATCACTGCTTTGCGTATTATACTGATTCAGGCTGGCCGGACACATCTGTACTTCAGCTTTGGTTGTGCCCTGGTTGTTCGGTGGGAGTCCTGTTCGGCTTACTCATCACTTGCACATGTCCAGAAAACAGTGCGGACTGGCCCTTTTTCAGGGTTTCGTTCTTCGCGTGTACCTCATTGACAATGCCGAGTAACGCACCTTGAAGCCCTGCAAAGCGATTGGATTCAGGCTTCTTTCTGGCCTGAAGGGACGGCGACTCACTCGATGGGAACAACGCACTCTGCAACGAATCACTATCACTATCCCTCATCTTCTGCTTAGATCCAGGTTGGTCGGTGGGAGTCAACGTCATTCGTACATATGCGGTAGTAGGCGGCCCTGTTGATGCTCCACCATTTCCAGCACCAGCCATGTTTGGAGGCTGTGCTCGGCCTCTTCCGTGTCCTTTTGGCGGGAGACGACAACGAGCATTCCCCGCAGACTGGAGTTGCCTCTCTTTCAAGGTTTCGTTCTTGGCGTGTATTTCAGTTACAAGGCCGAGTAGCGCACTCCGAAGCCCTGCAAACCGATTGGATTCAGGCTTCTTTCTGGCCTGAAGGGACGGCGACTCACTCGATGGAAATGAGGCACTCTGCAACGAATCACTATCACTATCCCTCATCTTCTGCTTAGATCCAGGTTGGTCGGTGGGAGTCAACGTCATTCGTCCATATGCGGTAGTAGGCGGCCCTGTTGATGCTCCACCATTCCCAGCACCAGCCATGTTTGGAGGCTGTGCTCGGCCTCTTCCGGGTCCTTTTGGCGGGAGACGACAACGAGCATTCCCCGCAGACTGGAGTTGTCTCAAGGATATGGTAGAAGTTAGACTTGATGGCTGTGACCCAGTTGATGCTCCAACATCACCATCTGACGCTTGTTTCTACGACATTCAAGAGAAAACAAAGGGCAAAGACAGGCAATTCAGTGACCCAGTCGAAATTCAGTGCATCACTTTACCACATTGGTTGCGATGACGTCATATTGACAGTGATTCTCTTACCCTCATGACATCAATCAAAACTGTGCAGAACTATGCAGAAGTACTTATAGATTATAATTTATACAGTCATGTACATATCCTGCATTTGCATATAACGCCATTTTGCATGTGTATTGTTGCGAAAGTACACTGAACAAGACTTTAGTGTACTTTGTATTGTTGAGGCAGCGAAATGGAATAATAAAAACCAAAGCAAACAGGAGTGTGTGTCTGTGTGTGTTTGTGGGTTTGAGTGTGTATGCGCGTGCGTGTATGTGTGTGAGTGTGTGTGTGCGTGTGAGTGTATGGTTGTGTGTGTGTGTGTGTGTGTGTGTGTGTGTGTGTGTGTGTGTGTGTGTGTGTGTGTGTGTGTGTGTGTGACTGTGTGTGTATGTGTGAGTGTGTCAGTGTGTGTATCTGTTTTGTGTTTTTGTGTGTGGATGTGTGTTACTCTGTGTGTGTGTGTGTATGTGTGTGTGTATTGTGTGTGTGTGTCTTTGGTCTGCTATACATACTACTACTGCATACGCATATTGTAGACAGGGCATCATTGGTCACATAACCAAACCAAATTTCGACGTAGAGAGTGGAATACGTGCTGGCATCTACGCTATAGTCATTTCTAGACTTGGACGTGCACACAAGTTGAGCAGGTGCTTACAATGATGGTTACTAGTGGGTGTAGGGTGTGGCACATCAGTGTTGAAATCTCCAAGCACAATAAGTCTACAGTCGCTGCTTGTTACGACCTCAAGATGCTGGCTGTACAGGTCCCAAAAATGAACAGCAGTACTGGGTGAACGGTACACACTGCACACAACAAATTCCGTGGCCTTTGGCGCTAATACGTACACGGACAAACAAGCACTCCACTCCTGCGTCAGCAACTGATACTGACACTGAGTGAATGTCAGAATGGACGTAAAGGTAAACTCCACCAACCTGTAAATCTAGGTCTCTGCGGTACAGATTATAGCCTGGAATATGCACGCTGGAGTTAGGTATGCTGCTAGCAATATGAGTTTCGTTTTAAATAGATAAGATGTGAATTTTATGAGCATACAAGAGGCGATGGATGTGGTGTATTTTATGGCTAAGACTACATGGGTTGATATGATCAATGGTGTGGTAGCTTACCGTAGGTAGGTCCGGTGCTCTCAGTACGCGAGGAACAAATGACGCTGCATTTGGATTCAGCGGTACGTGTGACTGGGCTAACGCGTTCTTCGACAATAAATTTCTTAGACCTTCAACGCCACGCTCCTATGATTGAACCATGAAAAACAAACAAACGCAAGGAGATCATCAGAATCAACTACATCCGCCTGTGTTTACTCACCCTCAGTGCAGTTATACCAGTTGCTAGCGTCGGAGATACGGATCTACAGTTGCAAGTCGCCTGTGTCGCTGTTCAGTCATCCGGCCAGTTGGTTCTCCAACAGTACACTGATAGTTCATTTGCACTGTAAAATTTGCAGGCCTACTTCCAGTGTAAATGTGAAAAGGGGGCATCGTGAACGTTGCCGTTAGACGACTCGCTCTTACAAGTCAGTCTTTATACAATGTCTGGCCTTGGACAATTTATAATTTCATTGCTATCACGTTCGGTCTCATTTTCTCTGTGCTGCGCTGATTAGCCCACAAATTACGCAACAGTTCTGTTCGCAGATTCAGTACAATGTCATGTACATGGAGATGAGCACATTGACCATCTAACTCTAAAACTAGCAAAGGAGTAATACTGCACCAAACTACGTATGGTGCACATTCCCTTTCAAGTGTAAGCACAAGATGGTCATTATCTACATAGTGTCAGTAACCAAGATTATTCATTTACTCATTTTACGCACAAATTACGCAACAGTTTTGTCTGCACATTCAGTACAATGACATGTACATGTAGATGAGCACATTGACTATCTAACTCTAAAACTAGCAAATTAGTAATACTGCACCAAACTCAGATACGTATGGTGCACATTCCTTTTCAACCGTAAGCACAAGATGGTCATTATCTACATAGTGTCAGTAACCAAGATTATTCATTTATTCAAAAGCATTCGATCTCGAGGGCACCAGATAACTGACACGCAACTGCTAAATATCTTATTGGTGACAACATCTTCCCACGAGCCATTTTGGAACATAAAAATACACGGCAGCAGAGTGCAAGATATGAAGAAGAAAAAAAGCCGAGCCTCAAACTCATGAGAGTCAGATGACGTTTGAATACTCAATAAAAGCAGTCGCTGAGAACCTTGTTTGAAGGAATGAAAATGTACTCACCTGAAGGCGGGGAGGGTCACTGTCACTATTCCGCGGTGTTCTCTTGGATACGTTCATTTCGAAATACCAGGTGCTGACAGAGGGTCTGCTAAAACACTTCTTCGAGGTTGTCACACACGGAGTAAGTTGTAGCTTAGAAAACCGTGATTTCGAGGAATACAACAGCAGTGAAGAAGGAGTCTTTCAAATTGCAAAGTGCACGTAGATCAGCTCTATATACGCTGTAGATCTACAACAAAACTAGTCTCATGAAACTACAGGTCAGAACTGTAAACAGCTAGTATTGAATCAACACCAAACGTAACCGATTTCTTCTTCACTACTGACTTGTGTAACGTAACTGCGAGAATGCTAGTTCCCGCGCTCACCTTTATACCAGGTTTTAGGCGTGGGTAAAGCACGCCCGCACGACCTGCGACGACTAGAATCTGAGCGTACATGTACGTGCAAGCCATAGAAAGGAGCAAGATCAAAGTATCCCACTGGGCCTCGCCATTATTGTTTGTCCATTGTGCTCTACGTTGCCAAGGGCCCATTGACGTCACACCATTAAAATAGTTAACAGCTTGATGAGTCACGTACATCTATTGAGTATTGTAGATCTAGGTGAGCTTGAGTGCTTTATCATAGTTATGCAGTCTATGTCAGCTCGCGCTGCACTTCACCCTCTCAGAAAACAGATCCATCATGACTGCATCCTGCATGTCATGCGAAGTGTGTGTGGTGATGGGGATCCTAGGGCGACCTGCCGATGTGGTGATCTTGACTTTTGCCATAATCGCTTCAAAGTCCGTGAAGATTCTAAGCATCGCCGAATCGTGCGTGGATTGCACGAACTCAGGGTCCAGAAGTCAAACGTGTCAGAAAAAGTCGAGATTGGAAACTAGGCTTCTGCCGTTCGGCAGATCATTTTCACAAACGTAGCAGTCAAGAAGAAGACAGTCTTGTTTCGTGTTGAGTTATTCCAGTATTACTTCTGTACTATCCGTGCGTGTACTCGTGTACGAGACTAGTTTTCCTTTACATCTACAGCGTGTGTAGAGTAGATCTACAGCCCGTGCATACAGTGACAGTACAGACACTCTTCACCAGCCACGCTACGAATGCGAACCATTTAGCTTTCGAAGTCTCCGTAGTTCCGCTGTTTCTTCTCCCAGTGATCACTGTAGTTTATGCTACAACTAACTCAGTCTTAGTGACACCTTGCAACAAGAGCTTCCGCAGTCGATTTGTTATCAACACGTATTTCGAAATGAAAGTATTGGAGAGACCAACGCGCAGAAGCGACAATGACCAACCTGGGCATCACGTAAGTAAAGTTCATTTCATTAGAGAGGTTGCTCACAACTAAGATTCATAAGATTTCAATCGTCCGGGTTCGAGTAACGAAAGTTGCTTCAAAGATCTGTCCAAATGCGACCGAAACAGACCAGATTTATGAAAATGTTTTTCATCCCCAAGAGTACTAAAATTCTAATATTTTGCAACTCCTTTTCTTGGCTCCGCTGCGTCAACCCATTACGAAAAGTAACAGTTCATGAGCTGTGCGTGACATTTAATCTTGGATGCCCACTCCAACACTCCTTATGTTATTTCCATGACTTAGAATCTTGCAAGTATCAGTTAGTTGAAAGGCTGTTGGAGTGCGCATCCAAGATATGCTAGCGCTGTTAGCCATTTAGTTGTAGAACAACGTGGTAGTCAGAGGCCAGATAAGAAGCCAAAGAGACTCGTAATTCTCGATTATTCATTATCGGCTGCAAATATGGCATGTGGTGTGTTCTTTATCGTCGTTTCTTTTCCTGACTTCTTCAGTCAGTTATGAATCTCAACAGTGTCCCTGGCTTCTTATCTGGCCTCTGATTACCACGTTGATCATGGTGAGTGGACTGTCTGGCTTAGCTAGGCTACACACTTAGGCACCACGGTCGCCTTACCTGACAAGAGTTTTGACTCATCTCGTTGCAAAGTCTTGTTCTTAGCGAGTACCTCCTTCAGAAGACCGACTAGTGCACTCTGAAAGCCTGCAAAGCAAATGGATTAGGACCTCTTTCTCGTCTGGGAGGCAGATGACCCACTGGCTGGAAACGACGCTCTATGCAACAAGCTTCTACGGTTCAATTTGTCTAGCCTACTAGGGAAAAATGATGGCGAACAGTTCACATCTCTACCTGCTACAATCACTGGTTCAGGCTTGGGAAATATAAAAGTTTCAGGCTTGGCAGCCATCTCAACTTCAGATTTTGCGGAGGTCATTGTTATAGACCCTATTTGTTCCGGGCTATCCCTGGCCAGTCCTCCACACACACTGGATTTCTTCCCAGTTGATGCTCAAACATTATCAACAACAGCCTTGCTGGACGACTGTTCTGGGACCCTCCGCGTCCTTTTGACGGAAGATGGCAACGAGCGTTCCCCTGAGACTGGATTTGTCTCGAGGAGGTAATAGATGTTTCACTGGACTGGATTTGTGTCGAGGATGTTTCACTAGATGGCTGCGACATTAACCATCTCGTTGCTCCACATTGGCATTACTTTCTGCAGATGAGCGTGTGTCAGGCTTGTTCTGCGCACACACAGCGCTGTCGGGAACGTTGGGTCTGGTGACTGGCGTGCTACCTGAGCATGATGTGAGTGAGGCATCCAGGGCAGCAGCGGCTTTACGATCACGCCGAGCAATCTTGTACTCCCGCCAAACATCTTCCCTCTTTTGGCCATTTTCTTGAGGAGATCTTCATTATCTACCCGTTGTGTGATAATAGATCCTCCAACACTAGCAACAACAGCCTTTCCGGAAGACTGTACTCGGACCCTTCCGTGTCCTTTTCACGGAAGATGACAACGAGCGTTCCCCTCAGACTGGATGTGTCTCGAGGAGGTTATCGATGTTTCAATGGATGGTTGCGACATTGTCCTGGCCTGCTGCTTCACAGTGGCATTACATTGTTCAGGTGAGTGTGTTTCAGGCTTGCTCTGACAAGGTGCACACACAGCACTATCGGAAACGTTGGTTTTGGAGACTGGCGTGTTACCTGCAGATTATCTGAATGAGGCACCCATCAAAGAACCGTCCTCACACTCCCGTTGAGCCTACTCTTATTTTCGCCGCCTCTCTTCGAATATCTTCGTTGATTTTATAAGATTATAGAGAAAACAATGGAAAAGATAGGGAAAACATTGTCCGAGGTAGAAGTATAATTTCATTACTTCACTACAGTGGGTGGGGTGACGTCAAATTGACAGTGATTCTGTCTCCTTCATTATGTGAATCCCAGCCGTGTAGAAATGGGTATAACTGATCACAGGGCATTGCATAAGTACACAGGACCGCGGAGAGACTACCAGTGTAGCCTTTGTCGACCTCAGCAAGGCGTTTGATCGCGTCCAGCATCAACAGTTACTCATTGCGCTCCATGGCATGGGTGTTCATGCAAGCGCCCTGCGTTGGTTTGCGTCGTACCTCGCCGGGAGATCTCAGCGTGGCGTCACGCAAGTCAGCCAGTCTTCAAGTCTTGCAGTGTTTCGAGGAGTTCCTCAGGGAAGTATTTTAGGCCCTACCCTCTTTAATGTCTACCTGAGGGACCTTCCCCGGCTTGCGGAGACAGCGGGTTCAAAATTACTGATGTTCGCAGATGACAAGACAGTCTACTCTAGTGATCCGTCGAAGGCGCGTTCCGAAGCCAAGTTGTCATCGGCACTGGAGATACTAAACAACCACCTTGACTCCATTGGTATGCAGATAAAATTAATACCGACAAAACCGTTGTCATGCAAATCCATCCCAAACGTGCCACAGGGAGTCAGCAACAACAACAAAGGCAACAACTGCAAATCACCTTGTCAAATGTTACGCTAGGGGAAGTGGAAAGCACCAGATGCTTAGGAGTCGTTGTTGACAATAAGCTGTCCTTTGACCAACACATTAACAAAGTCGTCCGGAAAGCCTCACGGAAGATCGGTGTACTGCGTCGATCTTTCCGCCAGATGAACCTGTTTGCCCGCCGTACTTTCGTTGTCGGTGTTATTCAGCCTGATCTAGAATATGCTCTCCCTGTATACCTTTCGTTTATATCCGCTAAAAATAGAAACAAGCTAGCCTCACTCCACCGGCGCGCTGTACGAGATGCTTGTGGCGCATCACCCCAAGCTAATATCACGCCACTTCTTGACCACCTCAATGTTTCCTCTTTCCAATATCGATCAGTATTTTTGTTCCTTGTATTCATTTTCCACTGTTACTGTATTAAGCCGGCTGTTTGCTTGCAGTCCCTCTTTCCCATCTGTACGTCTACCCGAACTACTCGCGGCTCTACAACTCATAACATGAGTATCAATCGCTATAGATCTATGTCTGGCTTTCTGTCCTTTTCAAGTAAATCGGCTCTTGTTTGGAATTATTTACCAGACGACCTGAAGTCCTGCACTACTATCGCAGATTTCCGCGTCAAATTGGCTATTTGGCTAAAAGACAGCTTAACTCTTAATCATTGTTGTGATTTGCTTTCAAGCAATGTGCATAATCAGTAACTTGATGTTGCTGTTTTTGTTTTTTTGGTTTCCCGTTCTCGGGGCCTTCTATTCGGTACTCTTTGTAGTTGTACTTCTGTACTGTTGAGCTATCCGAATTCAAAGAAACATTAAAAAAAAAAAAAAAAAGTACACCCATCAATGCAGGTGTGTATGTATATGGATGTGCATGCAAATTGTACCATTTCGATTTCAAATTTGACAGTGGAAAGGGGGATGCGTGTTGGCTATTTGGTCCACAATAATACAGTGAAACCTGGTTAAGCGACCACCCCAAGGTGCGAGCAAAAGGAGTCGTTAAAGCCAGGTGGTGTTTAGAACCAAATCCCACAGTATATGTGTAGAACTGTGGGTGCATGGAGAAACGGTCGTCAACAGCAGGTGGTCGCTAAAACCAGAGGTCGCTTACACCACGTTTTACTGTAGTTCGTTTACAAAAATTGGACTTTCGCTTCGCCACTTTTTTGAACACTCACCAGTACTTCTTCGAAAAACTAAAAAATATTCAGGCAATTTCGGTTAATGGTGGCAGCCTGGTCGTAAAATCCCTGAAAAATCGAATTTGTAAATTCATATCGAGTGCTACATCAGTTGAAAGAGCATGAACAGCCGCAAAATCAAAATTTGGCTTGATCTCACCAGCCGTTCAAGAGTTATGGCCGAAAATGTGCCCGTGCTCGGAAAGATTTTTTTGTTGCACGCTGTCATTTGTTGGCAGCACTGTATTTGAATGTGAGCAGACCGTGCGCAACTTGTATCATGGAAAGACGCGAAAGTGT